GGAAGTTACAGAGGAACCTGCTGACCTCTCAGGTTTTATGTGGACAGATCCTCTAAATGGAGTTCCTCTAAAAGATAATTTTTCATTCCAGGTGGAGCACCTGGAATAAGACTACCAGTACCTAAGACTTAAAGCCCACTTGACCAGATCCCTTTCCTCCACCTGGGCAGCTGCAGTTAACGTTTCTCCTGACATGATTTGTAAGGCCCCTACTTGGTCCTACATTAAAACATTTATTAGACATTACCAGATGAATGTTAGAACTGCCCAGTCTGAAAATGTTGGCAGTTTGTTGTGCTCATGTTTGAATTTTCAGTACACTTTTTTTGGCATTACTGGTCTTTTCTGGGGTATTACCCATTGTTGTGCTGCCTTTGATATGGTTATGCAAAAGGAACATTTATTCATACTTACTATAATTTTATTTTCCTGGTCATAGACCACAGAAGCATCCCTCCCTTGAAATTTAACTTGGGACTGAGATTGAGTGTTGGAGATTGGAGGGATTACTTATACACTTAATTGTTGTGCTGTCATGGCCTAGGACCATGGAAAGAAAATTGCGGTAAGTGTTATGGACAGATGAATTAAAATAAAATGGCTATTTACTAATAGGAGTAGCTTGGTATGCCCCTAAAATTAGGAGCAGTGGGATCCAGGAGTCGGTTCACAAAAAAGGCTTCTCTATATTGGGGTGGTTAGGAAGGAAACACATCCAATGTATATGGGGTGTATGTCTTTAAATCTGCTAAAAGGCAGAGTCAAATGTTACACACCAAATTGCTCTACTTAGGATTTCAAGATACACACTTTAATTAAAAAATAGAAAAAACAGTATGAGGAACTGCTTTCTATATATTAGAACCTAGTGTGGTTTATGACTTTAAATTGGTAAAAAGTGACAGGACCTGTATCAATGTCACGTACTACGATGCAGATAAAAAAGTATAAAAATTAAATATAGAACCTATCCTATTAATGACACTACAGGTCTAGGACATATAGATAAAAAATCAAAAAAGTGATATAAAAGGTAATTAAAACTGATATAAAATTAAAATTTATTTAATCATAACAGTATTAAAAATAACATTAAAAATATGTTCAAATACGAAGAGAATCAAAAAATAAGAATCAGGAACGTGTTGCAAGAATATTACCAGCACTTCAGCAGTCCTAATATTAACTGAACCGCAGGGACCATCCAGGATGGATATGGATACAGTATACTTCTCACTGTGATCTCTGGCTGTCGGCTGTGAGGTTGGCGTGCGTCCCAGACCTCACTCTGGGAGGTGCACGCTTGCCGATCGGTCGGTCCCCAGATGTTTGAAAATCGTGTTCTCAGTAAGGAGATGTTGTTGGCTGCTGGTGTACAAAGTTTCTGCGTCCGTATCCTGTGTGTCTAACGCGTTTCGTGGGTGTCAGCCCCACTTCATCAGAGACGTGATGAAGATTCAGTGATCCAAGTTCATTAAATATACATTCAACTAATTATAATTGATAACATCAGTATCACTATTAGAAACAATTAGAAACAATTAAAAACAATTGAAAACAATTGAAAAACATTGATCAGTGTTCAGCTCGTATTGCTTTATACATGCAAATTAAAAAGAGCTCGTAATTACAAGAATAAAATAGAAGTACTTAATTGATGTTCAATTTTTCATATGTACATCTAGAAATTAATTTAGAAATACGAGGATGTAGATTTACTGATATAGATACGGATATATCTAAAATAATACAGATATATGTATAGAAATCTTAACTCTATAAACGAAATAATTCACTAAGAGAGATAGTTGGTTTAATTTAGGTCCCTCAAGTGTATATCGAGAAGGGACTCAGAGGTGCAGAAACAATGTGAGTTAAAAGTTAATTAAGATACAAAATGATCACAGAGTAAAAGGACTGGCTTCCGGATGCATGAAAGGGACACATACTTTGTGTATAGAGACTGAAAAACGATCACATAGTATAAAAGTTCATAAGGTGCATTCAGATAGTATAAAGAATGACATGTATTGTGTTTATACATGGATGTATTTAAAAATAGAACACCGTTTTTACGTGCGAGTATTTAATAAAATGTATGTGGAAAATATATGTCTCTAATATGAGTAGGAGACCTAAGGGAAAGAAGATCTATGGGAAAAGAAAGAAAAATATAATAAAATAAAAATGAATACAATAAATAGATGTATAGGTTGATCGAATCAAAAAAGGGGGTTGCACAGGGAGTGTGCAACACATAATAGAAACCACAATGATCTCCCAAAGTGGATACTTCCAAGGGTGTATTTACATTAGACATAAATTTAGAAGGGGTTAATTTTTACCTTCAATGCTAATATGTGTATCAATCTTTGCTGTGAGCATAAATGTGTGTGTGTGACGTGTGAGAAGAAGATCGTGCAATAGAAATTAATCTTCTGCGTGCGGTATATAGACTAATTATAGTTGTGTCCTCAAAAATATAATGTGTGATAGGAGTAGTATTTAACATACATACAAATATATATATGGTATATGAATAGTGGTATCAGATAATGATATTCATATATGGGAGATGTGGTAGAAGACAGAGTAAGCATATATTAACTGTCCCCAAGTGCTCCCAGTTATATGAAATGTATAATCCTGTACAATTAATCTCAAAGGTGACTATATTAAAGGGAGAACAGAAAAAAAAAAAAAAAAAGGGTAGTTTTTATAGAATTTGTTGTAAAAAGGGTGTTATAAAAAGGCATTAAGTTCGAAGTCTATATTTAGACCGTTGGGGACAAGAGTCTCCAGATTGAAAATCCATCTTGCCTCAATTTGGTCTAGGTTCCTTTCAAGATTTCCACCTCTCCAATGTACATTAACTTTTTCAATCGGTAAGAACTTCAATCCTGTAGAATCTCCTCCATGGAATTCTTGAAAGTGTTTAGAAAGGTTATGTGTTTGTAATCCTCTCTTGATGTTGCGTATATGTTCTGTCACTCTAATTTTTAGAGATCTTTTTGTTCTTCCCACATATTGTTTAGAGCAGGGGCACGTGATCAGATAGATCACTCCTGTTGTATTGCAATCCATATTGGTCTGTAAGTTATGTTCTTCCATGTTGGTTGTGGATTGAAATTTTGTGACCTCTAGTTCCAAGGATGGATTATTTTTGCATGCCAAACATTTCGTGCATCTTCTAAAGCTTTTCTTTGTTGATTCATTTTGTGTGTTACGAAAGGTTTTTAATGTTGGAGCCAACAGGAGATGGAGATTTGGTGCTTTGGTAAAAATAATTTTTGGTTTGGGATCTAGAATTTTCATGAGTGTAGGATCATTTCTAAGGATATCCCAATGTTTGGTTAGAATCTTCTCTATACTGCGAGATTGATGGTTGAATTTAGTTATAAAGGCAGGTGTTGCTTCATAGGTATCTATAATTTTATTTCTATTCTTCAGGGTATCTTCCCTTGGAATATTCTTTGCTCTTTGTTTAGCCTCGGTGAGTAAGGTTATGGGATATCCTTTAGTTCTAAATCTCTGCTCCATCTCTTCCATTTGTTCCTCACATGTCTCCATTTTGGAGCAGTTCCTTCTGATCCTTCTGAATTGATTATATGGGATATTCTTCAACCAAGTGTGCTTGTGATGGCTATTGAAAGGGATAAAGCTATTACAATCCACTGATTTCTTAAATGTTTTAGTGTGTATCCCACCATCTTCAATGTAGACATTTAAGTCTAGAAATTCGATCTGTTGTTGAGAATGGTTGAAGGTGAATTTCAGATTGTAGGGATTATTGTTGAGGTAGTCTTTGAACAATTCTAGAGATTTCAAATCCCCTTTCCAGATAAAAAAGCAGTCATCAATGTACCTACGCCATAGGGACAGATTTGCGTCAAAAGGGCAATCGTTCCATATGAATTCCTCTTCCCATTTGCCCATAAATAAATTAGCGTAGCTTGGCGCAAATCTTGTCCCCATGGCTGTACCCTCTATCTGCAAATAAAAACAGTCATTGCACCAAAAATAATTGTGTGTAAGAATAAATGCAATGCACTGTATTATAAAATCAATTTGGTCATTTTTTAATTCCGTGTATACTGCTAGGGAGTATTGGATGGCTTCGCATCCTTGTAGATGTTCGATCACCGTGTATAGTGAAGTGACGTCCGCTGTGACTAAAACCATATCCTCTGTCCAATTAAAATCAGCTAAAAGGTTTAAAATCTGTGTGGAGTCTCTGAGGTAGGATTTGAGATGAGGTACAATTTTTTGTAGGTATTGGTCTACGTATTCAGAGAGGTTTGCTGTGAGGGATCCAATTCCTGATATGATTGGTCTACCTGGTGGTTTAGATAACTGTTTGTGAATTTTAGGTAGATGATAAAATACTGGTATTCGTGGAAATTGGGTAAATATATACCGAAATTCTCTATCGTTAATGATCCCCCTCTCTCTCCCTTGATCCAATATAATTCTCAGTTTCTCTTTAAATTGTGTTGTAGGGTCCTGCTCCAATATCGAATACGTGGAGGGATCCCCCAGCAATCTTTGATTTTCTCCCATATAGTCTTCAGTATTTAGGATGACTAATCCACCTCCTTTATCTGCTGGTTTTAAAGTTATATCCTCCGATTTCATAAGCTTTTTTAATGAATTTCTTTCTTTCTTAGTTAAATTATCCTTTTTTATCTTGTTCGTAATCTTTTTTCTGAAATCTTTCTCTACCATTTTTTCAAAAACTTTGATTGAGTCTGTCTTCATATGTTGAGGATAAAAGGTCGAAGTGGGATGTAGCCCTGTGTGTACATAATCCTGTGTTATATTCGGTTGTGTTTGGTCCTTATCATTGAAGAACTTCTTGATGGTGACTTTCCTTATAAATTTATGCAAATCTATACATATATCGAAATTGGAACTTTTTGAAGTGGGTGCAAACTTTAATCCTTTTTTCAAAAGTAAAATCTCCTCTGTATTGAGGACTTTGGTGGATAGGTTGAATATATTTACCTCCTCCTTTTCTGTTGGATTGGATTTTTTTTTTTTTTTGGATTTTCTTGTTGTTCTGCTTCTTCTTCTGTTTCTCTTATAGTTCTTTTCTTTCTCATGTCCGGGGACCTGAAGTCTTCCATTGCGAATTTCTTGGGGGGAATCCTCCCCCGTTTCTCTAAAAAATCATTTTCCATATGTTGACTGGAGGCTGGTTGTTGATCTCGAGTAGGTGCAGTAGTTTGAACATTGGTGTGATCATGTACTGGAGTTCTTGTATCTGTAATGGGTTGATGTGAATAATCATTGGGTCTCCAGTTTCTTTTTTGGTATGTACGGGAGTCCTGATCTGGAATGCGGGAGTCCGGATTCCATTGTGACTGGTATCTTCCCTGATGTTTTGGTCTCATCTGCATATGATGGTAAGATCGGGATTGTCCCTGGTTATTGTGTCCAAATCTGTTATTATAATTGGATCCATTGGAGTATTGTGTGGGAGTTCTTTGGGAGATCAATGTTTCCTTCCGGTCTAAATATCGTTGTGGTTGTAGTCGATAGTTGGTTTCATAAGTGTTGAGGTGGTTGAATCTTTGTCTTGGTATATCTCTTTTCCAATTTCTCTGTGTTTTTGTCTTGTAATCATTTTGGTCTCTCATTATTTTCTTTCTTTTATTTTCTCTAATACTGGACTCTATGTCTTTTACTCTCCGTTCAATTTTGTCCAAGAGTTCTGTGTATTCCCCATTCTCCACTAGGGGGCGAATGGAGGCTTTAAGTTCCGTTATCTCTAAGTCTAGTTGTGTTAGGTCTTTCTTTTTTTCATTGATCAGAAAAACCATCAATAATAGGGATCCTTTGTCCAAAAGTTGGTCCCATTTTTTTAATAATGTTAAGTCATGTCGTTTGTATGTTGATTTTTTGAAAAGTCTAAGACCTCTAGGCACTATGTTGTTGTTTACGTAAAAGTCTAATGTGGCCACATCCCACCAAACTTGTATTTCTCTTTCCATTGTTTTGCCTAGTTGGTAAATGAGGGATCTTATATTTTTTATATAAAAATATATTTTTTTTGATTCGATCAACCTATACATCTACTTATTGTATTCATTCTTATTTTATTATATTTATCTTTCTTTTCCCATAAATCTTCTTTCCCTTATGTCTCCTACTCATATTAGAGACATATATTTCCCACATACATTTTATTAAATACTCGCACGTAAAACCGGTGTTCTATTTTTAAATACATCCATGTATAAACACAATACATGTCATTCTTTATACTATCTGAATGCACCTTATGAACTTTTATACTATGTGATCGTTTTTTAGTCTCTATACACAAAGTATGTGTCCCTTTCATGCATCCGGAAGCCAGTCCTTTTACTCTGTGACCATTTTGTATCTTAATCAATTTTTAACTCACATTGTTTCTGCACCTCTGAGTCCCTTCTCGATATACACTTGAGGGACCTAAATTAAACCAACTATCCCTCTTAGTGAATTATTTCATTTATAGGGTTAAGATTTTTATACATATATCTGTATTATTTTAGATATATCCGTATCTATATCAGTAAATCTACATCCTCATATTTCTAAATTAATTTCTAGATGTACATATGAAAAATTGAACATTAATTAAGTACTTCTATTTTATTCTTGTAATTACGAGCTCTTTTTAATTTGCATGTATAAAGTAATACGAGCTGAACACTGATCAATGTTTTTCAATTGTTTTTAATTGTTTTTAATTGTTTCTAATTGTTTCTAATAGTGATACTGATGTTATCAATTATAATTAGTTGAATGTATATTTAATGAACTTGGATCATTGAATCTTCATCACGTCTCTGATGAAGTGGGGCTGACACCCACGAAACGCGTTAGACACACAGGATACGGACGCAGAAACTTTGTACACCAGCAGCTAACAACATCTCCTTACTGAGAACACGATTTTCAAACATCTGGGGACCGACCGATCGGCAAGCGTACACCTCCCAGAGTGAGGTCTGGGACGCACGCCAACCTCACAGCCGACAGCCAGAGATCACAGTGAGAAGTATACTGTATCCATATCCATCCTGGATGGTCCCTGCGGTTCAGTTAATATTAGGACTGCTGAAGTGCTGGTAATATTCTTGCAACACGTTCCTGATTCTTATTTTTTGATTCTCTTCGTATTTGAACATATTTTTAATGTTATTTTTAATACTGTTATGATTAAATAAATTTTAATTTTATATCAATTTTAATTACTTTTTATATCACTTTTTTGATTTTTTTATCTATATGTCCTAGACCTGTAGTGTCACTAATAGGATAGATTCTATATTTGATTTTTATACTTTTTTATCTGCATCGTAGTACGTGACATTGATACAGGTCCTGTCACTTTTTATCAATTTAAAGTCATAAACCACACTAGGTTCTAATATATAGAAAGCAGTTCCTCATACTGTTTTTTCTATTTTTTAATTAAAATGTGTATCTTGAAATCCTAAGTAGAGCAATTTGGTGTGTAACATTTGACTCTGCCTTTTAGCAGATTTAAAGACATACACCCCATATACATTGGATGTGTTTCCTTCCTAACCACCCCAATATAGAGAAGCCTTTTTTGTGAACTGACTCCTGGATCCCACTGCTCCTAATTTTAGGGGCATACCAAGCTACTCCTACATTGAATCCAGTGCTTGGCCTTCAGAAACGGTGAACAAATCATCTCGCCACTATAGCCAGCCAACCTCCCAGTTAGCGAAGGATGTAACTGAGCTGGGCGAAAAGATTAGTTTGTGTAGGGAGACTGAGAAAGGAGAGTATAACAAGCACGTTATGACCGTATTAGTGTAAGGCGCTCAAAAAGCTGCCATCAAGAGAACCTCCCCCACATCAGTCTTCAGCATGCTGCGCATGTGAACTGACTATCCATAGAACAGACATTAGTCAGTCTGAAACAGAGTTCTGGGCCAAGTCATATGTACGAGGTGTAACTACAGACAAATTCAGATTTTTTTTTCTTCCTGTATAGACTGCATTGCAAGATTAAATGGTGCATGTACAGATAGGTGGCAGCAGAAGTGATCAGAGTAACCCTTTAACCTCAACACATGACGGAAATTTTCCATCATGCTGACCGTTTACTCCTGAAGTGGTGCTCTTAAGGGATTCGCTTCGATTAACGCAACATTCTATATTTACATATGTCCGATAGCAGCTTGCAGTTATCAGTAATTAAATTTCCTGTGGAGATCCTTTTGGACTAAAACCTCTGCCGGGGCAGTGAAAATCTATCCACCAGTATTCCTGGTAATGAGTCCCAGCTCGGGGCCTAGAAGGTCTTAACATATGTTCATAAAGTTTCCCTTGAGATGCTGTTGGGCACCAGGAATGCAGAGAGTATTTGGAAACACTCCAGCCGAGTGTGTGCATATAAATAAGGCGCATAGTTCAATTTCTCCGGCAACATTTGTCAAAACTATCACAGCAGGGAGCGTACCCAGACGGCAATCAGCTGGAAAGGCCAAAAACAGAAATAGATTAAAAAGGTAATTCTACAAGTCTAGAGAAACCTTCCGATCCTAGCTTCTAAATTCAGCCAGCATGACATTAAAGAGGCCCTCTCATCCACATCATACAGCACTTCAACCAAGTGTTAAACCATCTATATGTGAAACAAGAAAAAGAGTATAATTCAATTTGTCCACCTGATACTTACCCCTTACTGCATGCCAGATACTGTACAAAGCAATGTGCCATTTGGGAGCAGATGAATGCCTGCTTTGCCCACAGGAAAAATTAAAGGGAAACTCCAGGTACCCCAACATGTGGAGCAATGTGTGAATTAGGTTACCGTTCATTATGATTGATAGGGTATTTCTGAAGTTCTCTTCATAAGCCAGTCCTTTATCCCCTACCCTCTTCACATCATCCATTCTAAGAAATATTTCCTTCTTGCTGGTTCATGTACCTCTGTGCAGTCTCTCACCTAGCCAACACCTCCCAACAATCCTGAATTTGGCAGGACAGTCCTGATTTCAGAGTCCTGTCCAGTTTTAGTTCAGTGGTTTCCTACATCCAAGGACACCAGAGACAGCACAGGATTCTTATTAGATTTGCTCATGCACTGTGAATCACTACCTGCAGGGACCTAAAGCCTTGAACATTAGCATCCTGTTAAACGGATTAACAAATGGCATCACTGGTGCCAGCTCAAAGGGAGCAGACCTGCCTGGATTAAAAAAAAACAAAAAAAAACCCCAAGAAAGTCAGAACAAGACTCCAGTGGTTCTCAAGAATGTTGTGCAGTTATGTTGGGAATCTTTTTAATCAGACTAAGGCACATTCTGTGTTATTAAATAGCTGGTAAGACTACAGTTGGCAGTAACACATGTTGGGAATCTCATTCATAAGAGGTACATTCAAAGTTATTGCCATCTGTCATTTTACAAGCTATTTAATAACGCAGAATTTTTTTTGCCATTCTTGGGCTTGCTTACAACATATAACCACCATTCAATATCTACAATTTAGCCTCATATTGACTAGGCATTTTTCCCTGAATTATCTGATCTTTCGTAAAAGGCAGAGGACACCATTCAAATCTTAAATTCAAATTAAAAGATCACTATATAGTGTCAGGAAAACTAGTTCCTGACACTATATAACCCTTAGGACTCCCCCACCGCATCCCTTGTTGCTGAAGGGGTTAAAACCCCTTCAGTTACTTTAATCCAGCGCTGGTGCTCTCCTCTTGCACTGTCCGCTCCCGAGTGAAGCGCGATGAGCATGCGAAAATCGCATTCAGCGTTGCGGAAGTGCCACTAGCAGCTGTCAGTAAGACAGCCACTAGAGGTTAGATTAACCCGGCAATGTAAACAGTTTCTCTGAAACTGCCATGTTTAGATCTGAAGGGTTAAAACCTGAGGGACCTGGCACCCAGACCACTTCATGAAGCAGAAGTGGTCTGGGTGACATGTCCCTTTAAGGTATCCTGTAACTTTGTATCCCATTCTTTTTACCCAGTTCGTCTAAAGTTAGACTAATTCACTTCACAGTGGGGTGCACATTGTTTTATGTACATGTTTTGGTGCTCTACTAATAACGTTTCTTTCTTGCCATTTCCTTATAATGTTCTAATTTGGAGGCAATCGCAGTGAGGTTAGGATTCTCTCCTCATTAGGTCCTTGT